CCCCCCCCCCCCCCCCCCCCCTCACCCACCCGTCAACCTTGACCCCGATCCCCCCACCCCTATGCCTCTTCTTTCTTTCCGTCGATCATCACACTGATTGCTGCCGGTACGATATCGCCGGGTTTATCCCGGCGGGCGACCGTGTGATGGACAACAAAAAACACAAAACAGGTTCGTGCTTCGACGGAACGCTATGCAAGGCTTGGGCATGGGAGAGCCTCACCAGCAGTCGTCGGCGTCTTCCGGGGAGAAGGGGACCCTGAAGGAGAGGATGGTGAGGGCGAGGGAGCAGCTTGTGGAGCACGTGGAGCAGACGGCCGAGCAGTTTCGAAAGATGACGGTAAGTGGGAGAGGACGGCGGTCGCGCTCGTTTTGTTCGCCTGTTGGTTTGATTTTTTTTTTTTAAGACGGTGCACTACCCCTTTCATCAATCTGGAGGAGCGATTTTTTGTTGGTGACTCTCCCTTGGTCCGGCTGATGTGTGATACGCTGGACTTCTTGGTCGTGCTGTCCGCTTGGCTAGGGGGGGAGGGGTGCGTCTGTGCGATCGGGTACGGGAGGGTTGGGTGGCGTTGTAGGAGGGGAGGGGGGTTAGGGAGCATCGGGGCGTGGGGGTCGAGACGGGAAGCTCTGCGGTTTAGCTCGAAAACTCAGCAGCCGTTTCGAGGAACAGGAAAGCGAGTGGGTGTGTTGGTGAATGTGAATGTTTCCGGGTGGGCGACGGCTGCTGTCTAGAGCGCTGTATTTTTTTTTCTTGTGCATGACATGTGTTGTTGTCGCTGCTGCTGCTGTTGCTGGCTGCTGCAGTGTTGTGTGTGCGTGTATATGCGTATCGTGATGCTGTTATGTCGACTCTAGAGCATGTTTAGGCTGTCTACCGTAAGAATCGGAGAGTTGGCACGGGCGGGAGAGATGGCACCGGTCGGAGAGATGGCACCGGGGTGCGATAAAAAACCCGAGAAAAAAACATTCAATTCGATTTACGCACCGGGGTCGGTGAGATCGCACCCGGTGTGATCTCTCCGACCCCCAAATCCAAGCTTGAACTCCTTTTCAGCTGCCGGAATGAGGTACATGTGCGTACCTTTTACACGTGGGGACAGAGTCAGCGGAGCGCCACTCCATCACGTACGATTGGATGGTCGCGGTTCACGCGGGATGCCAGTTGTTTTCATATTTTTTTGGTATGGAAGTTGCCAACCGTACACTCAGCCAAACAAACAACGTACAAGCCGCACCCTACCCCACCTTACACAACCCGAAGCTATTGTACTTGTGCGTACGTATTGGTATCCGTAGAAGAAGACCGAAACGAAAGCGGGAAACAATTGATACCGTATACTGGTGCCACCTCAGATGCGCTATTTCGCCGCTTTTTTCGGGGTATGTTGTATGTGTATTTCGCCGCCTTTTTTCCGGCTCAGATGTGCGTGTGTGTGCAGAAGACCGTGTGCGTGCGTGGGTACCTACACTGGTGCCTACCAATCAATACTATGGCAACGGTCGGGGGGATGGCACCGGGGTGCGTGCATACAACGTGTGTGTGCATTTCATCGGGGATCGCACCGGTCGTAGAGATCGCACCGGGGTGCAACACCTGTGTATGTTTATTTCATCGGGGATGGCACCGGTCGGAGAGATCGAACCGGGGTGCCCTTGAAAATTCTAAACGAAATGATTTAATTGCATTTCCGCACCGGGGTCGGAGAGATGGCACCGGTCGGGAGAGATGGCACCGGCGTGCGATAAAAAACCCGAGGAAAAAACATTTAAAATAACGATCGCACCCGGTGCCAACTCTCCGACTCTTACGGCAATCAAGTAGAGCACACGGGCAAATCATGTAGAGCGTAGGGACATGTTCCGCTGGAAGACCCTCTCAGCTCTGTCCGCGCAAAGGGACGACAAGATAGATGGATCGCTCGGCCTCGGCGGTAATTCCCGTATTGGAGCACTTGCGCCACGGTAAATCTCAGCCTTCGCGGACCGGGGGGTAGTGGCGTGGTGTTCTCCTTCCACGTCAGACGGGTGTCGGTAGGGCTTCGCGGGGCATGAGAGGAAGCCAAACGCCCGCTCTCTAGCAGTGCTCTGTCGATCGGCATGGTGTGCTCCTCTAAGCCGTTAGGACCGGTCACGAGAAAACGGGCAAGGGGCGGCGGGGGTGGAACAAGGTGCCACCGCGAAATTTACGTACTGCTGTAGATGGCACGATAATTTATCGAGGTAGTTTTTCAAGCAGACTGTTGGGGGTTGCTGGGGGCCTGGGAAGCGCATGAGCGGGTTTTGGGTGGGCGCGGTCGCCCAATGCAAAGCGCTGCTTGTGTGCCCGCACCACATGGTGAAGTCGCCTCGGCCTTCGGTGGCTTAGGTGATGTCGCGCGGATTCAACTCAGCGAACCGACATTTCCTTTTTAACTAGGGATGCCCCCCCCCCCCAACCCCCCAAAAAAATTTTGGGGGGGGGGGAAAACCCTAATTCGGGCAAAGGGGGGTGGTTGTTTTTTTTTTTTTTTAAAAGGAAAAGGATTCTCGAGGGGGGTTACCGGGGGTTTAAAATTTTTTTGGAAATGAAAAGACCAAAAAAAAAAATAAAGTCTAAGTAGTTTTTTTCCGGTACCAAAGAAATTACAAAAGGCGAAAAACCTTTGGGGGGGGGAGGTTACCCTTTAAGGGAATTGGCCAAAAACTTAAGGGGGTTTCCGCTTTGTGAATTGAAAACCTGGGACGGGGAAAAACCGGGGGGGTCCGGCCCGGGTTTTTTAGGGTTGGAAGGTAATGGGTAAAAGAATAAGGGTTGGTACAAAATTAATCCCCCCCCCCCAATTTTCTTAAAAAAAATGGGGGGGGCCCTGAAAATAAAAAATAATTTGGCCCCTTGGGGTTTTTTTTTTTTTTCCCCCAAA